GCACACCTGGCCGTGCTCCAGGGGCTCCAGATACAGGGAAATCACAAGTTACCCAGACATTTCAAGGGTATGTTATCATAGATGCAAAAAGACAGATAGGCTCAGTTACAGTAAAGGTTGACCTTATCAGGGAAGATATCGGCTTAGGACATAACTGCCCACCATAACTGCTTTTAGTTAAGGTATAATTTCAGACCATCCTTTGTGGTTACTTTAGGTCTCCGAGTCTGCAAAACTGCCATGCAGGCCTCTCCTGAGCTTGTCAGGTCAGCATGTGGCCCCTTTCGTCCACAGCTGGATTCCCAATTAGGGCACATGCCCTGGTTGTGGGCTCAATCCCCAGTAGGGGGCATGCAGGAGGCAGCTGATCAATGATTCTCTCCATCTTTGATGTTTCTTTCTCTCTCCCACTCCCTTCTTCTCTCTGAAATCAATAAAAACATATTTAAAAGATAAAACTCTAAAACATTCTTAAGTCAAATGACTATTTTTAACTTTCATAAGTATATGGATGCAGAATCTGGGAGGGAAAGCGGGGAAGGTGGGTAGGTGGGAGGTAATCAAACAAAGGCCTTGTATGCATATATGCATATATGAACACAGGCCTGGGGTGTGTGTGGGGGGGGTGGGGAGGGCGGGGCAGACTAGAGGGAATTAATGGGGGAAAAAGGGGACATATGTAATATTTTCAACAATAAAGATTTAAAAAATAAAATAAAAATAAATAAAAAATTAAAAGAGAAACATTGAAAAAAATAGTATATGGATATTGTAAAATGCAATTCCCTGTTATTGCTAATTAATGGTCCCACACAATTCTATAGTTTAGTGTGGAAGTGGATTGAAAGGCATGGCTCCTTGCTCCTTGTTTACTTCCTGTCACAGAGGGGTGTGCCGGGATTTAAAAAAAGGGGGGGATACTTCTTAAAGAAAAACTTCTAGATAGATAAAAAGTATTAGAATATGAATAAAGTGGATGATTAGGGTAATAATTAGCATTTATTGAGCAGTTAATATGTGTCAGGCACTGTAGTAAATGCATAAGCTCATTTAATTGAAGTCTATCCTATGAGTTAGGAAGTTAGTCTGCTTATTTACAGCCCAGGGAACAAAGCTGTGAGGGGTGAATAATTTGCCCCAGTCCCTGACTGGCACACCTGGGATTCCGTGTTGGATATATCTGAATTCAGAGCTTATGCTCTCATCATTATGCTTATAACTAGTTATAGCTTTAGTTCATTTAATTTTACAAGCAACGTTATTATCCGTGGTGCATTATTTTGTGTTTTATCCTGTACAAAATAAAGTATAGTTGAAGCTGGCTTTCTCCTTCCTGTTTGTTTATTTTATTTTTATTTAAAACATTTTTTTTTATGGATTTCAGAGAGGAAGGGAGACTGAGAGATAGACAGAAAACATCAATGCTGAGAGAGAATCACTGATTGGCTGCCTCCTGCACACCCCCTTCTGGGGATCGAGCCCACAACCTAGGCATGTGCCCTTGACTTGATTTGAACCCAGGACCCTTCAGTCCACAGGCCGACGCTCTAGCCACTGAGCCAAACCAGCTAGGGCCCATTTGTTTGTTTTTCAATTTTTCTTCCCCTTTAGTGACATAGGGCCCCTCTTCCTGTCTTGATTCATCAATAACATCTAGGGCAGTGGTTCTCAACCTTGGTTGCACATTAGAATTGTTGTAATGTGCCCTGCGAATCACAGAAGGACGCCTCAAGAAGTCGAATTAAAGAGTCACATTTATTGCAATCCGGGACTATGAGGGGTCATTCCCAAATCTCATAGTGATGAGATGGTGGCAAAACCAGACATATAGGCAAAGATCACAAAGGTATTGATTACATCTTAAGGTTTGGAATGAGGAACCTGGTTTGCAAAAAAGCAGTTTACAGAAGCAGAATTAAGCATTTAATTATAGTTTTGGGTCTCGGGTCACTGAATTGACAGAAACACCTTATCTAGAGCCCTCAGGTCTTGAGACCACTGGGTTGCTAGGAACTCATTATCTACCATCGAGGTAATTTAGAGTAATTGCACTGTCCTGGTCTTGGGACCACTGAGTCAACTGGAACCCATTATCTGGAACCCTCAGGTCTTGGGATAATTGTGCTGTCCTGGTTTCCAGGTACAGAGGAATGTGCTTTCTAAAACCAGTAAGATCACAATCAATGGGATAGTCATTTAATCAAATGGGATGATTTATACAATTCAGAAAATCAAAGTAACTTTTCTATTGTTAAGCCAAACAACAGGGTTAAGAGTTAAACTACAGTTTCTACCTGATGGTTGCTACCATCCTTTACATTAATCACATGGAAAGCCATGAGTAACCTATAACCCTTGAGACACATCTGAAAATGTAACTGCACTATTTATTTTTATTTTTTAGATAGGTTTCGGAGAGGACAGGAGAGGGAGAGAGAGAGAGACGTCAATGATGGGAGAGAATCATTGATTGGCTGCCTCCTGCACGCCCCACACAGGATTGAGCCTGCAACTCTGGCATGTGCCCTGACCAGAATCAAATGTGACCTCCTGGTTCATAGGTCAATGCTCAACTACTTGAGCCCCCCTAGCCAGGCTAACTGCACTGTTTAAATTATGACCCAAGGAAATGTCACTGCTGAGGGTGTTTCCTATACAGATAAGCATGGCCTATAGAAGCCCCTGGTCTACACTAGCTGCTGTACTAGTTGTTTTACCTAAAAGAGCAGCTCTTGCCTGAGGTTTTTTCACTGTTTCTCCCTCTCAGCCCAAACCAAGCTCCACCTCCCCCACACAAACTGGGCTAGTCTATCTCTGATGATGTCTTACCAGCATAGGTCTTTTCCTTCTCTACTTAATAATTGGTTTGATGATGCTTCTGCTTATCATCTTAGCCCTTCTTTACTTCACCAGTCAGACACCATTTGATCGTCTATGTCTTCTAGTCTTATCACATGGCTAGCCTGCCAGCAGAGTGATAAGCTCAGCCTTGATATCTGGAAAGCGAGTGCTTTCATCAGATAGCAATGGAGAGTGTTTTGTCATTTGATAATGGCTTCCCAGATGGCTATAATGTATTTCATTTTGTATTATCTACACTGTTTTTGATCATTCATTCCCCTCGGTATATTCTTACAGAGTTCTTAACCAAATATACTGTATGTATATTTATCCATAAAGTATACACATATGCTACCATCATTAGCTTATACCTCAAATACAATATATGCCTAGGGTGAAGTTCATTGTTAATGATAAAGCTTATACATCCACATTTCAGATAATCTTCTTGATGAATTATCTTTTTTAAGCGAAATTTGGTTGGATTTACTAGACTGTTATTTTAACTTCAAAATGTGGCTGTCTAAGAGCTGATACTAGAAGTGTCAGTTCTGTCATTTGTTTTCCTGTGGTTTCTTTGCAGGGGACTCTGGTAAAGTCACTTGTCTGTTTTCTATGAGTTTGTTTAATGAAACATAGATAATATAATCAGTAAATCCACTTAACTGGACCTAGTAAACTGGATCCACTACAAGTTGGCAGAGACTGACTGATCGGACCACCACACCCAACCTCTGGAAATGGGTAACTCCCACTAGGCCAAGAAACCATTCCACAGATGGAGTGCAGAGCTATATATTCATTCTGTATATAAAATATTAGTTGAGTTTAATGCTTTTTCCCCCCAATTTGAATTAAGCATACATAGATGTCCTCATATTTTCTTCTCCTACATCCCAAATGGATTGCCTTGCACTATTCCTGGAGTACACACACTCCTTGGATGCATGGACCTCCTTTAGAAACTATTAAGGAGGTACAGTTTCAAGAACAGTTTCTCACATCGGCAAGGATGTTTTGATTTAAAAAGGCCTGCTCATTTTAGTTACTCTGCCATTTTATAGAAAGTGAAACAGTTTGGAAATGAATTGTCTTTATAGAGACCCATAATTTGCAAGCAAAATTCCCACTCTATAAAATGTGAAATGTTCTAAGCAACAGCTGTGAGCTTTTCAAACGTGCACTACTCTTTAACAGTTCAACTGTTGCCAAGGGAAATTGAGTTGGCTTTAAAATCTTCCTTCAATTCTGCATTTACCCTCAATCAGAGATTGAGTAAACAAGTTCTTGGACAGTGTTTTCATAAAGACTGGTAAAAGAAATTGAGATGTGGAAATTTAAGTTTCTTTAAGGTAGGAGACTGGTATTCTAGCCAATTTTATAGGGCCTCATGGTGATGAACTTTGTCAGAGCAAAAATGGGCGGTTAAAAGTGGCCAATCATTTGGAGTCAGTAGGGGGAGCCTGCTTTCACCTGAGAGCCATCTTTTCCTGTCCCCCAGTTCAGTTCAAAACAGGAATATTTTTTATCTTTCATGGCACAAAAATTTTCTTTCCGGCTCAGGAGCCATTTCTGGGAATGAGCATAGAAATGTGTAAAACTTGATGGTTAACATAAACAAGAGAATGCAATGCACTTTTTTTTTGTCACCACTTGCACATACAGTATATATAGTTTTATTTATGTATGGAAAACATGCTATAATACCGAGGGGAAAAACTAGGCTACAGGACAAGGCAATTAAAAGAAAAAAAGTACTGGAGGGAAGTACACTAAAATGCTAACAGTGGTTGAGGGATTATGAATGTTTATTCCCCTCCCCCCATTTACTAAGTTTTTTTTTTTTTGGGGGGGGGAATAGACCCCTCCTTTTGGGGCTTTTATTTTTATTCATTTTGGAGAGGAAGGAAGAGGCAGAGAGAGACAGAAACATCAGTGATGAGAAAGAACCATTGATTGGCTGTCTCCTGCAAACCAGGCATGTGCCCTTGACCAGAATCGAACCTGGGACTCTTTAGTCTGCAGGCCGAGCCTCTATCCACCAAGCCAAACCGGCTAGGGCCATTTACTAAGTTTTGAACAGTCAGTACCCTGACTTTGGAGTTAGCATTAAGATTTTTCTTCCTTTTTTTCTTTTTTACCCGCCCCCCCCCCCCTCCCCCCTTGCAAAAGAGGTATGTAGAGTGCATCCAAATAGAGTGAGTGTCCAAGAATATTCTCTGGAAAAGCACCATTTGGCCTAGGGTTCGCCAAGGACGCAAACACATTTCTAAATATTTTATCACTTGTTCTAGAGTTAAGTCAAGGCTTCTCCACAAACTCCTTCCGATCCGCCGGCCAATTCAAAGCTCCCAGGTTCCTACAGTTGGGCGCGGGGGTTTCTCCGAGCTCCGCGCAGGCGGAGGGACGGCGCGGGGGATCCTGATGAATGAGTGCGGAGCGTGGTCAGCGTCCCCACCTGCAGAAGCTACAACGAGCCGCCCTCCAACAAGGCTTGCAGGAGTGTCAGGGAGCTGATATTCAAAAAAGAGGTTTAGGGAAAAGGAGACCAGGTGAGAGAGAATTGGAAGCGATACCCAACCCTTGGCCAGGCCCCAGGGGCTCAGATTTCGGTGCCAGGTCTCCCACAAGGTTTGGCGGGGAGCGACTGCCGGGGGTTCCACAGCAGTAGGCTGCAAGGGGCCCATGGACACAGGCGCGGTGGGTATCTTATTTCTGTCTACGCGGCGCTGCTTTCTATCCTGAGCGGGGCTCCTCGAGCCTAGAAGGGTCATCCTAGCCTCTAAAGGGGGCGGAATTCCTGCCGGGGCTGCCCCCACCCTTAGCCGATCGTGGCCCTTGGAATCCTCTGAAGACATCGCCGCCCAGAGGTTCCGCAATGCGTGGAAACCCATTTCACTGATCTGCCCATCGCACACCTCCCGGGTTTAGTAGCTTGAGTAGCTCTCAAGCGCGGCGGCGGCACCGACCACCCTCTTCCAGCCACCCAGCCTCCTGGCGGAAGCGGCGGCAGCGCGGCCAGAGCTCGCGGCTGCATCCGGGTCCCTCGCCCTCAGCCCAATCCTCGCTCTCCTCTCTTCCCACCCTCCCGTGTCTCCGCCCCGCCGCCGCCAATCCCTGACCGGCTCTCAGCCGCACATGCTGGCATGGGAGTGAAGGCGGGCGCCGGCCAATGAGGCCTCGCTTCCCGTTTGAAGCATCCAGTGAGTGGGCGCCGGGGGCGGGCGCTGCTGGCCAGAAGGTTCGGTTGCGCGTGTGCCATGGACTCAGCCGCCCGGTGATATTGACAATAGGAGAGAGAAAGGGGCATTGACGGGCACCCACTGCGGGTACCGAACGGCGACTCTGGCAGCGGCGGCTCCAGCTCCAGCGGCTTCTCCTCCTTCGCCTGCTGC